TTGCTAGCCCATCGGCCCTACATATAAAACCAATAGCATAGTTCCCAAGCTCGGTGGACCGCAAAGTGTTCTACGGTATACATATTGTTGTAAATAGGACACACCGCTAAATAATTCCGAATTGTGTGATGGGAAATTACGTTTAACTCATTGTGGTCATTAATATAGTTCATGTTTTAGAACCTCTGATAAACAAAAAAAAAGTGACGAGTCAGTTAGGTGAGGGCATGTTAGTAGTCGATATTGACAGTTGATTGGATTGTTGGAGATCTGTATGTACATAGAGGCAGTGGCGAACCTTGGGGTGCGCAAAGGGGGGGGGGGGTGACCTAGGCGTGTGTCCCTTATTTGGTTTAAATTTAACATTATATAACTGGTTTGTGTGTGTGTGTTTGTATGTGTGTGTGAGTGTGTGTGGGTTGAGGGATGCCACTTTTTAGAGTCCGGCAGGGAATGGCATTTAGCCAAGTAGCGACACTGCGAAATTTATTTATTCATAATCATGTTTGACTAAAATTTCAAACAATAGCAACAGTCTATTGCTTATCTCAGCAGTAGAATCAAACGTTTTATTGCTATAAATATTGCATGGGCAGTTTGGCACGGATCTTTCGCAAAACAGACCATTTTGTCACACAGCCAACAATAACAAGGCGTTAAAAAATAAGGACAGAGTTCACGTGAACGGTTGACTTAAAATTTGCAGTTATACAGGAATTTCCGAAAATTACGCTACACAGAAAAAAGGAACTAAAAATAAAAAATAAAAGTATTGTGCCAGAAATACAAATTCTTTAAGCATTCGCTTTTAAATCATCTTTATAAAAAAAAAATTCAATATTAGTTATTTTACGATTTTTCTTTAAAGTAATATTTTTACATTGATTGTGTAGAGAAATATTAGCATCATTCTTTTCACTTTTTGTAAACAAAATTGGCGAAATAAAACTAACACTTGCTTAGGACTTAAAAATGTGTAGACTGAAAACTATCATGACACTTTCTCGTTTTAATAATTGCTTGAAATTTTTTTGTTTATATTTACAAAACCATTTATAAGCCACCTTATGCATAAGACATAAAAAGATGGGGAGTGAAAAATTTTTGATGTCACATTTTTTTTAAAATTTTTTTTTTTTATATTTTTTTTTTTTTTTTTTTTTTTTTTTTTTTTTAAATTTTTTTTTTTTTAAAAATTTTTTTTTT